CCAAAGGCTCTTAAGCAAAGTAAGCGGTCATGGGATAAGAGGGAAGGTCCTCTCGCAAAGAGATCTCACAAAACTGGGTGAGTGGGCAACAAAATGGCAGATGAAATTCAATGTTGATAAATGAAAAGTAATGCACATTGGAAAACATAATCCCAACTATACATAGAAAATGATGGGGTCTAAATTAGCTCAACTCTCAACAAGCTTTCTAGCCACTTTTTCCTGCCCAAGACTTGAGCCTCTGCTCCCCAGAGACCTCAAAAAAGATATACTGGAATTGGAAAAGTTTCAGAAAAGGGCAACAAAAATGACTAGGGGTATGGAACGGCTTCCATATGGGGAGGGATTCATAAGACTGGGACTTTTCAGCTTGGAAAAGAGATGACTAAGAGGGGAAATGATAGAGGTCTATAAAATCACGACTGGTGTGGAGAAAGTAAATAAGGAAGTGTTATTTACTCCGTCTCATAACCCAAGAACTAGGGGTCACCAAATGAAATGAATAGGCAGCAGGTTTAAAACAAACAAAAGGAAATATTTCTTCACCCAACACACAGTCAACCTGTGGAACTCTTTGTTGTGAAGGCCAAGACTATAACAGGGTTCAATAAAGAACTAGATCAGTTCCTGGAGGATAGGACCATCAATGGCTATTAGCCACGATGGGCAGGGATGGTGTCCCTAGCCCCTGTTTGCCAGAAACTGGGAATGGGCGACAGAGGATGGATCACTTGATGATTCCCTGTTCTGCTCATTCCCTCTGAAGCACCTGGCAGTGGCCGCTGTGCGAAGACAGGAGACTGGGCTAGATGGACCATTGGTCTGACTCAGTATGGCCGTTCTTATGTACTTAAGAGCCAAGGCTGAAGTTTCACAAGTGCCAGAGCGGTGTCAGTGAGAAGTAAATGAGAATCAGGCCTTGTGACACTTTACTACGTTTTCCGTCTGTTGCTAAGGGCTTGTCTACACACAAACACGGAGCTGCTTTCGCTCCATTGGTACAGCCCTCCAGAGTGGCTGCCACTGTTAGGCCAGTTGTCCCCGCCATGGTTGAGGTCACCTGTGCTGGACGCTTAGCAGGCTGCTGGGATTGGCTCCCAGAACTGGATGGGTGTATTTCTGATATCCCTCGGCAGACGTGCCGACTTCCTGAGTTCCCCAAGGGGGCGGGCTCAACCCCTTCCCCGCCCCAGGCCCCACGCCCACTCCAGCCCTTCCCCAAGCCCCCACTCCTACCCCACCTCTTCCTGCCTCCGCTCCTCGCCCCAGCACCTCCTGCATGAGGCTGAACAGCTGATCGCGGCGTGCAGGAGGGGCTGATTGGCAGCACCTGCTAGTGGGTGGGGGGGAAGGAGCTGATCCACAGGGCTGCCAGTGGCTGCTGAGCACCCACAGAGTCGGTGCCGATCTCCCTGGATTCTGGACAGGCCTTAGCACTGCCTGCTTCTTTGACCTCTAGGCTCACTCCCTGGTCCTAGACTCTGGATCTGGCACCCCTTCTTGAAAGTGGGGCCCCACGGCTCATGGGCGCGTGAGACAGGCTGCACCAGGCCTTTCTGGCCCCTACTGGAGGCCCCGTGGTCCTATCACATCCTGCCCCAGGAAAAGAGCAGCAAAGGGCTGCCGAGAGAGGCCCCATGGAAGCAGCCAATCAGAGCCCAGCAGGCTCAGGTGACAGGAGCTGCGGGTGCTAACAGGGCAGTGTCTGGCTGGGACCACAGGGGCACTCACACTCCTCCACCACCCGCCCCCTCCAAGACTCCCCAACAGCGTAAGCCCACCCTCCCCAGAGCTCTGCCCTTGTGGGCACTCTGGTTCATAGTCTGACCCTTCAGGGACATGTCATAATTGAAGCAAACAACACCCAGACTTTGCAGAGGAATTTCTAAAGCCAAAACACTTTACTCATAAACACCACACCCTTTGCTTCTATACACAGCCCATTAGAGACCATGAAAAGACTCCCACTCACTTCAGCAGGCTTTGGACAGAACTGGTTATACACAGGGTAACTCCACTGTCTTCACAGGGTCCTGGTCCCACAGTGGAGGGGGGGCCATGTGAGCTTGTTGCAGAGGTTCTGCCCAGGGATGGGAACCTCCTGGCACCCCAGCCCCCAAAATCATTCAGGCGGCACTTTCTGCACGACTGTGTGCTAGCTGAGGGGTGCGTGGGAATTGGTGGCCTCTGCTGCAGGTGATGGGCATCTCAGGTACTTGAAGACATGGTGAAGAGGAGGGAAGCACTTAACTGCAGAGTCTGCAGCTGCCTAGGGCCAGGCCCTGGTCTCCCCCATCAAACCAACCTTTGACCTGTACCTGCCTCTCCAACTACTGCCCCGTCTCCCTAACACCCTCCCAGCTCATGCAATGTGCCGTGCCCTCCCCCTGCACCCCACATCTCGTCCCCACTCAACTCTCAACAAGCTTTCTAGCCACTTTTTCCTGCCCAAGACTTGAGCCTCTGCTCCCCAGAGACCTATGCACTGCCCCTAACACTGCTGGTTGCTCCCTCAGCTTGGGGATCCCGTCCTCGCCTGGTTCTTTGTAGGAGAGCCCCCAGCTCCTTAGGGCAGGGACACGAAGGGGGAGGAGTCACAGGCTAGGAAGGAGGCCCCAGAGGGGGATAGAGCAGTTATGAACATAGGACTGGAAAGAGCCTACGGGGTCACCGAGTCCAGCCCGTGCTATGGCCGGCAACCCCGTCACGCCACCCCCTTCGTAAACTTACCAAGCTCCACCTGAAGCATTGTCTCCATCCGTTTCCTCTCACTCCCCACCGCTAGAGAGGCGCTGGGGTCCAGAGGCTCCCCGAACAGCATGCGCAGACTCAGGCCCTGGATCCCCCGCCCCAGACCGGAGGCTGGGCTGGACTCAGAACAGGAGGAGTGAGAGACTCTGTGTCCCGTTCTCTAGTCTCCTCAGGCATCCAGCTCCCCACAACCTGGCAATGGATTGGAACTAGTTCTCTGACCCCCAAAGCCAGCTAGTCCCCCCATGAGCTGAGGCCAGACGAGAGGCAGCACCCCTAGAGGTGAAAGGCCCCGTGTCCCCTTCTCTGATTCTACTGAGCTAGCCAGTCCTGCTAACTTGGGGTCAGACTGGTGATGAGCCCACTAGAGGGGAAAAGGCCCCGTGTCCCATTCCCTGATCCATCCAACATCTCCATCACAGACTCACTTTTATTTTGCTTAAAACCACCGGTGCCCCATGGCGGGCCTTGCCCATTAGGGACTAGAACACACTCCAGAGTGACTGCTTCATGGTGTGGAGATTTGTTAATTCAAGCAAAGAGCTTGGAAGGTAGAAGGTGAAGTTCATGTGCTGTGTTACTATTAGATCAGCGTCTCAGGTTCTGTCCCCCTGAGCTGGTCTCTCCCCACCCACTGCCCCATGGCCCTTTGCCCTACTCAGGCAGTGGGAGAGAGTCGGGGCTTCTCTATTGGGTTTAGGTGTTTCTATGGTGCCTTATCACCGAGATCTCTTCTTTCGGGGACCCAAAGGCTTTTCTCCCCTGTCTCTGCAGTACAGACGCTGGAGGTGGACAGATCGCTCCCTGTATCACTACAAAGCTTGGAACACCAGGGAACCAAACAATAATCATGGTGTTGAGTACTGTACTGAGCTGCTGAATTACAGGGGTAAGCAGATGGTTCAAACACAAATGCACCAACAAAGCAGCCAAGACAGGACCCTAGCCACACCCTCCAGCTCTCTCTGTGGAGATGGCCCCCTGTCCTGTCAGCCTGCCTGTCTCCCTCAGCTCACACTGCCACTCCCTCTCCTCTCAACTCACCTGATAACTCCTCCCCCACGCATCCCAGTTTGAGGTTCAGCTCCAGTCAAAGGCAGGCCATACAGTACATTTGGCCCCAGACAATCAGTTAAACGGAAAGACCCAAGCAGAGCTATTGTCCACTAGATGATGTGCAGGCAGGGTATGGGTTCTTCAGTTGGTGCCTTTGGCACCCTGATTCTGGAGGCAGCCAGGGGGCTATTTTGGCCCCGGGCAATTTAGAGAAACCTCAGGACTGCTTTGACAGCGGCAGTAACAACCTAGACGGCCAGAGCACAGGAGCTTCCGCCACATCCCAGCCTGTCCCCTATGCTGGGGAGGCCAGGGTTGGGCAAAGGCAGATGTCTCTCTTCTGGATTCCCCTATGCAAGAGGAATCCCCAGCTGGCCATTTAAGCCAGCTTTCTGCTGTCCATGTTGCTGGAGTGGCGTGGGGGGTGGAGCGGGGCTGAAGGTCTCATCCCATTCACTGACAATAGGACAGAGAGCTGGGTGAACAGGGAAAGCTCACTCGCTAATTCATGAATGACTCATTCTTCATGGGGCTCTGCTAGTCACACAGACTCGCCCAGCCTCAGATGCTCACGAGTCTGAGTGTTCTATTCCCAGCCCTGCCACTGATCTCCTGGGTGACCTTGGGCAAGTCACTTCCCCACTATGGGCCTCACTTTCCCCTCCCACCTCTTGTCTCCTTAGACTGTGCACTCTCCGGAGCAGGGATTGTCTGTTGGTATGTGCATGCATAGCACCTAGCACCAAGAGGCCCCGTCGTGCTCTCATCAGACATATTCCAACACAATAGAAGAGGGTTGTGACGGGTTGGATTACAGAAAACCCCTTGGGGCTGCCAACTGATGTGCCAAGACTACTTCTGCCCCTGTTTTCCCTGGCAGCTTGGGACTTCAGTGCCCTGCCTGGTTTGAGCCAGACATGCTTACCTGCTGCAAACACAGGCCCAGGTCTGAACCATGTCCCCCAACAGCTGCAGGCTTAACTGAAAACAGCTTAAGAAGTGTTCCTGTCTCTAACACTCAGATGCCCAGCTCCCAGTGGGGTCCAAACCCCAAATAAATCTGTTTTACCCTGTATAAAGCTTATACAGGATAAACTCATAGATTCTTCGCCCTCTATAACACTGTTAGAGAGATATGCACAGCTGTTTCTCCCCCTCCCCCCCCCCAACCAAGTATTAATACATAATCTGGGTTAATTAATCAGTAAAAAGCGATTTCATTAAATACAAAAAGTAGGGTTTAAGTGGTTCCAAGTAGTAACAGACAGAACAAAGTGAATTACCAAGCAAAATAAAATAAAGCACACAAGTCTAAACCTAATACAGTAAGAAAGTGATTACAGAGGAAACCTCACGCTCAGAGATGTTTCAGTAAGCTTCTTTTGCAGACTAGGCTCCTTCTAGTCTGGGTCCAGCAATCACTCACACCCCTATGGTTACGGTCCTTTGTTCCAGTTTCTTTCAGGTATCCCTTGGGGTGGAGAGGCTATCTCTTGAGCCAGCTGAAGACAAAATGGAGAAGTCTCCTAGGGGTTTAAATAGACTCTCTTGTGGGCGGACACCCCTCCCTCTCCCTATGTAGAATACAGCTACAAACAGGAGTTTTAGGTCACATGGGCAAGTCACATGTCCATGCATGACTCAGAACTTACAGGTAGCAGCTATTGTTCACATGCTACCTTGAACGTCCTCAGGTAGACTTCTTATGTGGATTGGAGTCTTCCAAGATCCATTGTCTGTTAAGTGTTTCTTGATTGGGCACTTAACTTGCAAATTCCTTTCTAACAAAGCTGACCAAATGCCTTACTAAAGCTACTTAAAATCAAACAAGTACACAGCCAATATTCATAACTTTGAGTACAAAAATGATACATGCATACAGATATATTCAGTAGACCATAACCTTTGCAGAGATATGTTACCTAAAATATATTCCAGTTATGTCCTATTTACTTTCATAAGCAGATTTCCATAAAGCATTATGGGGTGCAATGTCACAAGGGTCTTCCACTATCACTCTGACACAGCATCCCTCATGGAACCATGGAGCCTGTCCCTGTCTGAGACACATGGGCCTTCATCTCCAGCCTCCTCATCCTTGCAGCCTCATGCACAGGAGCTGGGGTCTTCTCTCAGCAGTGTGCAATGAGGAGAGACATCACTATAAGGGCAGGAATGGCCCCACTCGCCCTTCCATTGCCCCAGTGATTGGTTTTGCCTTCTACATTTTAAGAACTGGAATGATAAAGACTGTCATACGAAAAATGGCTACGTTTGCAAGTATCGACCCTAGCGAGGAGAGTCGCTCGCCTGCGCCTGAAGGGGGAGCTCAGCGCCTCGGATGCAAAAGAACTGGGCTCCTTGGGCATGATCAGACAAGGTCCCAGACTTTCCAATGCCTTTGCTGCATCAAGGGACAGTCCTCTCCCTCCCTGAGAGACCAGATCTCACTTCCCCAGCTGCAAACTCTCTTCCCCGAAGTGTGTCTGTTCTAGTTACACTCCTGCCCCTTCCCCTCAGTGGCTGCAGCCCACAACAAGAATAAACTCTCCTGAGCATGCAGTTCTGTGTGTGTCTCCTCTGTCCCAATCCTGGCCCTGCATAGAGGCATCCATCCAGCCCCCTCTGACTGTGTCCTGAACTGCCCAGATCTCAGTGGAGGAGAGGAAGGGGACCCTCAGAGGGAGGCAGGATGGGCCTGGCCTTTTGGATAAGGGACAGGACTTGGTCTCCCTCTAGATATCTGCAATAACCAGAGTTTCTTCTCTCTTCTGGCCCACCCATCTCCTCCTGATCTCATCTCCACTCAGACACACAAAGCAGGGACGTTTCTAGCGGTTGTGTAAACATCAGGCCCCACCAGAGCTGGAAGCATTTGCCACAGTACTAAGCAGGCTGAGGTCCCTGAATACCACCCCTTGGACCTTTTTCCAACTGGTCAGTGTTGGACAGTGACTGGGTTATGTTACTATTCCTGGGGGAATTCTGCACCACTGTGTGTGCAGAAAACATGCCCCTGCCCCCCACACTAAGCCCTTCCACACTTGGATCCTGCTGGGCTGAGCCTGCCTGCCCACACCTGGTGTGCCCGGTGCAGAGGGGCAGCGCCCTGGGAGTTTCGGGGGAGGTCCAGCCCTTGCGCTGTATCAGGGTCCAGAGCAACCTCACTGCCGAGTCCTGTCCTGGGGGGTCGGGGGGTGCTGCAGAGTGATCTCCCACTTCCGTGCAGCCAGTGGCCTGTGCTCCCCACTGCCACACTGGAGCATCCACATTTACTTATTAACAAATAAAATTTGCAGAATTTTAAAATACTGTGCACAGAATTTTTATTTTTTTGGTGCAGAATTCCCTCAGGAGTAGTTAACACCTTTGGCCCATCTAAATTAATACAACAGGCCCTGACCTGAGTGGCACCTCTAGGCGTGGCCTACCACAATGTAACTTCACCCTTCTGCATGGTGGAGTCAGCAGCACCCACACAGGTTCAATATCTAGGGGTTCCTCCTAACACTGCCACAAAGAACTGGCTCGAGCCCCCCCACCGCAGTAATCTGGGAAAACTTAACACCGCCCCGGACGCCTCCAAGAGACAATACGTCCCCACTCACAGGCACTGACTCTGTGTTTTACAAAAGACAACTGCTATTGAAAGGGAAAGGGAACCCAGCATTAGTTTGAGAAAACATCACAACCACATTCAAACACATGTGATCATGAGCCAAGCCAACCCCACAGCACACTTTTGTTAGGTGGGTTCATTTTCGTATGTTTTGTGACTACAGGAATCCATGTTGGTTTCAAAATGGAATTTTATGCCCACGTGAGCTATAGGTCCATTTTCCCGCTCTTTTATTTCTCCTGGAGTTGTAAACAACTTCCAGTCAGAACTGGTTTTCCTAAGGGGTTTCCCAGAAGGGGCTTCCCGCCTTTTCTAAGGGGTTTCCCGGGCCAGTGTATAAAAAGGTGCCCCGAACATGGCCTCAGGGTTGTCCAACTGAGTGGCAGCCAGGGACGGTCACGGGTCGTGGGTCTTACCTGCAGACATCTATCCATCCTAGGGATTTTCCTCCAACAGCTTCCTCACCTCTAAAGAGAAGAGAGGAGAAGAAACAGCACTTACCTTTCTCATCGTCCATCGCTGTGCTCCTGAGCGTACCATTTGTTCTGTTTTCCTGTGGCCACGAAGGAACATCAAGGGACTCCTTGGAGCTCCTCTCCAAAGCCTTGCCGTTAGCCAGAGGATTGAGGTCCCAAGCACCTGCTGTCGCTTTGATCTGTGAAGACGGTTTTTATATCTGTTTTGTAGGGTTGAGTTTGGGGGTAATCACTGTATTGCGCAATTTTGCTCTTTATTCCCCTTCTTATTTGTCCCACTCTTTGTTATAAACCCTTCAATACACTTTATTTGATTTTACCTTTACTGATTGATTCCTCATTATTTAGGGTGGGAGGGGTCCTCTTTGCAGGAGAAGGGATCCTACCGGATGACAGACGCTGGACAGGGAGGCCGAACCTAGGGAGACTGAAAGCATAAGGATCTCTTTTCTTATCACACACACACACACACTCCTCCTTTGCCTTTCAGTCCTTTTCCCCTTTAACACAGGGCAGTGTCTTTTGCCTCAGTTTCCCAGCTGCTGGTGGGAAAGTCTGAGGAATGAATGTCCCATTAGCACATCAATCCCCTCTCCCTCCACTGCACCCCACTCACAGTTGGCTGTCCTTGGTCAGCAAAGACCCAGAGCTCAGAGGGGCCTTCATGTGGGTTCGCCTCCCACCCCCATCCAGGATGTGCATCGAGCACAACGGACCCTGCTGCCACCCTTCCCTCTGCCACCATCGGTCACCCCGGCGCTGCTGCTGCTTCTCTGCCGCCACCCGCTGTTCTCTGCGATGCCACGTTCTCAGGTCCCACCACTGAACCCAGCGCTCGGTGGGTAGCGGGAAAGCTCACTGGGTTTGTATTTTGCAGACTCAATAATAAAAACAATGTACAGGTGTCTCTATTGTTTACTAGACCCAAATGCAATAGAAACACAAATAAGGTGCTTTGAACGTTCTTATCTTTTTTGTTCTTTCTTTGGCTTTTTTGGTAAAAGGTGGATGTCTATACGACAATTTGACCCGGACGTTGCTCCTAGTCTTGTGATCTGGGCAGGAGCGACTCACCGTGCCAGGGAGCTGCCAAACCCTGTAGTTACAGCAACTGTAGGAAGTTTATGTCCAACCTAAACCTCCCTGCCTGCAATTTAAGCCCATTGCTTCTTGTCCTGTCCTCAGAGGTTAAGAAAAACAATTTTTCTCCCTCCTCCTTGTAACAACCTTTTATGTACTCATGTAAATACAGAAGTCTTTTTCCCCCAGCCCATCACTAGATGTTAGAGGAGAGCTCAGTCACTCCCTGCTCACATAGCCACTGGGAGCTGACAACAGGAAGGGGTTCGGAGGGTTAACAGCCCATGGGGAACGCGGCTCCCTCCCACCAGCTGGACACCACAGTTACTCAACCCTGCACAGAGACCAGGCATGAGGGGCAGACGCAGCCCGGCTTCTATGCCACCCAACCCCTGCAACCCTCTGCAGGGCCCCACAGAGCCAGGATCAGCCCCAGCACAGCAGTGTGGGGGGGGGGGTGTGGGTGTGGGGGGGAATGTGTTCACAGAGGCATGCATGTGAGTCGTCCAAGTGTTCACAGGAGGGGGGTGTGGGGAGGGGGATGTTCAGAGGGGAAGGGTGAGTGACGTCTCTCCTGCTGCCCCCCCTCCCCGTCCTGGGCACCTGCCAGCTCTTTGCACAGAGATCAGGAAGCTGAAACGCAGAGAAATGAAACCTAAAGGGAGCGTGAGGAATCAGAAAGAGCTGGGCCGGAAACGCAGCAGGCTATGGTGAGGCCCCACCCCCTGCCAGCCTGCCTCACTCTGGGGAGAATGCATTCGGCTGGCAAGGCCTCGGGCTGCTCTGAGAGCCTCGGATGACCAGGGCTGGGGAGCACACGGGACATGATGGGATTTGTCCCTTTAAGGAGCCCTTTATGCATCTCCAGCAAGGAGCTCTCAGCTGGGAGCTGGTCAGAGCCCGTTAACCCTCGCAAGCCCAGGCCTCAGGCACCGACACCCCCCAACAAAAAGCAACCGCGGCTTTGCATCCCCTTTAAATAAATTGCTCTAGATGTGGCCCTAGGGTGCTGGCTGTTCCCCCCTCACCCCTCAATGATGGGACAGTCTCCCCTACCGATCGAGGGCAGAGAACCAGGCAAACGATTCCCTGAGATTGTTGAAATCGGCTTTTTAAGTGTATTATCTTTATGCTGCTGCTCCCCCTGCTTCCTTCCCCTAGGATCACAAACTCTTCATCGCTGTGTAGTCACTTTCACCCAAGTTGCCTTCCACCTTCAGATTCACAGCCAGCTCCTCCCTATTAGTGAGAAGGAAATGGCAACTAGCCACCGGCCTTCCCCCCTTTACATCCTCCACCTTCTGAAACAAAACAAAATGTATATTTAAAAAACCCTCTGGAAAGACGCTTCTCCCTCTGGGAGAGGAGAAACCAAACATGTGACAGGTGTGAGTCACAGTAATTAATGCACAGCTGGAAAGCGCTCAGACACTGCAATGAGGAGCAGAGCGTAAGAACCGATGTAGGACGGAACAGAAGAGACCCCCACACTGTCCCCACAGCGCAGTGAACCAGGCAGGGGCCCCACGGAGATAGAACGCGATCGTCTCATTGAAGAGCGCACCAGCATGCGGCAGTACAAAGGGAAGAGGTGAGGCTGCACAGGGAACCTGGGTAACGATGCAGCCTCTGGCGGGACACAACGGAGAGTATCAGTTCAGGACAAATTGCTTAGAGCAGGGCAGTTACAGCCCAAGGTTGGGTTTCCTTTACTATTAAGGCACACCAAACCAGCCAAACAGATCACTTGGTCTCACCCCACGGGCTAACCATAAGTCACACAAGCAATTCCCTTCGACACTCCAGTTCCCCAGTATCACCACCAGGACCACTCGTTATGGGGACGAATGGTTATGAAAACCAATACCCCAGTAAAAGAATAACGGTTCTCCCAAACCTAAAGGACCAACCCCCAGACCCAGGTCAATATACAAGTCAGATCTTACCCACAAATCACACTGTTGCCAATCCTTTAGAATCTAAAAGTTTACTCATTGAAAGAAAGAAATATAGACGAGAGCTAAAATTGCTTAAATGGAATCAATGACATACAGTGATGGCAAAGTTCTTGGTTCAGGCATGTCGTAGTGATGGAATAAACGGCAGGTTCAAATCAAGTCTCTGGAGAACATCCCCAGCTGGGATGGGTCATTCAGTCCTTTGTTCAGAGCTTCAGTGTAGCAAAGTCTCTCCAAAGGTAAGAAACAGGATTGAAGATAAAATGGAGGGATTTCCAGGGCCTTTTATATCCTCTGCCATGTGGAAGGACACCCCTTTGTTCTTACTGTGGAAAATCACAGCAGCAAGATGGCGTCTGGAGTCACTTGGGCAAGTCACATGTCCCTGCATGACTCAATTCTTTTACAGGGAGAGCAGCCATTGCTCACATGCTACCTTGAACATTCCCAGGAAGACTTCTCATGTGAATTGGAGTCTCCCAAGGTCCACTGTCAGTTAAGTGTTTCTTGACTGGGCACTTATTGAGAATAGTCCCTTCTCAAGAAGCTGACCAAATGCTTCCCTGAGGCTACTTAGAATCAAGCACATGGAGATACAAGTACATAGCCAATGTTCATCACTTCAACCACAACCACGATAGACCCATCCAGACAGCATAATCCTACCCAGCCAACCCTAACCTCTCCATAGACACCTCACACCACAACCTCTGTACAATATTTGCTGCAAATATATAACAGTGGTTGCAACAATGATCTATACGGTCGCAGGTCATGTCAATAACGTCACAACCTGACTGTTATTTCCTCACTTTAGAGGGTTTAATTTGTATGTGGGGGAGGCATTTTCAAAAGTGCCCAAGTGACTGAGGAGCAGGGATCACGCTGGCAGCCAATGGGACCTGGGTGACTAAACCGGGGGGGGGGGGCCCTTTGGAAAGTCGCACCCTGCGCGGATAAAGCTGGGGGAGGTTCGGGGAGAGGCGGAGACCTGGGGGAGCAGGTACAAAGCTCTCACCTTTGGCTACTTGCCCTGCCTCCGTCATCGCCCTCTGCTCCTCGCTGCTCCGTGCCCCAGGCAGGGCCCTGGAAGTGCGTGAGGGCGATACGAACACCCCCCGGTGGTGGGGAAGGGCTGGCCGGGGCCGGGACGCGGGCAACCGGTTCGGGGCAGGGGGCTGTGGAGCTGGTTGGGGGCGTAGCAGGGAGCGCCCGCGGCGCGGGGATGGTGAGTGACCCCGTCCGTGTGCTGGGAAGCCCAGGCCAGGATTGTACGTGTGCAAGCGCGTGTGTGCACCCACACCCACACACACACACACACCGACACACACACACCCGCACCCACACCCACACACACCCACACACACACACACACCCGCACACCCACACCCACACCCACACCCACACACACCGACACACCCACACCCACACACACCCGCACCCACACCCACACACCCACCCACACACCCACACCCGCACACCGGACCCCCCCCCCCCCATAACTAGTCCCATGTCACCCAGGGAGCTGCAGGTGGCGACTCAGGCTGAGGGGACACTGAAGACGACAAGTGGAAGTGAAAGTTAAGTTTCAGTTTCCTTTTCTGCTGCTCACTCCCGCTTTCCGGGGAAATGCAGCTCCCCAGCCAAACCAGTGAGATCCCCAGCTAGCAACCCGCCCTGCATAAGAAGGGCAGCATCGTCCGGGCGGCCACCGTCCAGCCTGCCCGGGCAGAACTCGGGTCTCTCCCAGAACCGGGCACGTCCACACCTTGGGAAGAAACCCGGGGCAGTGAAAGGAGCCGTCACCTCCCCTGGCCGGGCTGGGACTCAGCGGAGCGCAATGAGGTAGGAGCATTGGGGTCGCTGGGCGGGGGGGACATTTCCAGCCAGGGCTAAAGTCAGACAGCTTTCCACCCCCCTCTGCGCATTTCTGGGGCTGTAAATCTCCGGCTTTGAAAGCTCTGGGGCGGGGTCACTCTGGGGTAATTCTGCGTCCTGTTGACTCTCCAGGCTGGTGCCTCTCAGGGCTAGTGCAGGTCACTGTTGGCACCTCGCCCTGCGAGCTCCCCTCGCTCCACCTTCACGGAGAGCTCCCCCTCTGGCCAGCTGTCACTCCGGCTTCGCTCCGCATCAACGGAGGAGTCGGTAAGAGAGTGCCCCCCCCCAGCCCTGTCCCCCTCTCCGTTGTGTTTCAGAGTAGCAGCCGTCTTCGTCTGTATTCACAAAAAGAAAAGGAGGATTTGTGGCACCTTAGAGATGAACCAATTTATTTGAGCCTAAGCTTTCGAAAGCTACAGCTCAGGAAACCTGGCTGCGGGTGTTGGGGAGGGGGGAGAGATTAACTCTGATCCCTGGGGAGCTGGAGCCAAGGGGCAGCCGGGGGGTGGGATGGGACCAGCCCAGGAACTGCAGAGAGAAAAGGCAGCAGCAGCAGGAGCCCGGAGCTACAGCGCGGGGGAGGCTGCAGGGAGGGGAACCAGCTGCTTGCAAGGGGGGGCGGGGGGCTCTTGTGAACGCTCAGCCTGGAGCTGAGACCATGTCACCCCACTGCCCCCCCAGCACCACCCTGAGCGCAGGGCACCGGCACCAGACCACAGCGCAGGGACAGCTGGAGGGAGTGCGGGGGCGGGGGGCGGCTATGTGTCTAGCAAGGCAGAGGGGGGAGTCCTGTGAGTCTAACAAGACGCGGGGGGGGGGGGGATTGTTCTATTGTTCAGTGTGGTGCTTGTTCCAGGGTGACCATATTTCAGGTTCCAAAAAACACTTCCTTATTTACTTTCTCCACACCAGTCATGACTGTATAGACCGCAATCATATCCCCCCTTAGTCGTCTCTTTTCCAAGATGAGCAGTCCCAGTCTTATTAATCTCTCCTAACATGGAAGCCGTTCCATGCCCCTCATCATTTTTGTTGCCCTTTTCTCAACCTTTTCCAATTCCAATTTATCTGTTTCGAGATGGGGCAACCACATCTGCATGCAGGATGCACAGCAGCGGGAGGGGTGTAACAGGCCTCAATTGTCTCAATTAAATGTCCGGAGACAGAATATTTACATTCTGCCGACCCTCAGAATCTCCCCATTACATTTCTCTCCTGCCTACTGACTAGAGTGGGCCCCGTTCCCATTGATACTAAGGTTATGGCTACAGTGCAGTCGCAGGTGTGTCTAGCTCAGGTAGGCATCCCCGTGCGAGCTTTAATCTAACTAGTGGGACTAAAATGAGCAGTGAAGCCGCAGTGGCACAGACCCAGATGTGGGCTAGAAACACAAGTACGTACCTGGGGGGCCAGATGGGCTTGCAGGTCCTGCACCGCCAAGCGTCACTGCTGTTTTTAGCTGTGATATCTAGGTTACAGCTAGTGCCGGAAGGGCAGCCCATGCTACGGTCCCACCTCTCACTGCAGGGTAGGCACACCCTGCGGCCATTTCACAGCACCCTGGCCGTGCGAAGGGGCCTTTCCATTTACACTCGCTTTACGCTGCCAGCGGGCTGGGAACTAGCCTTTGTGTAAATGAGAGTCAGGCCCTTCCTGTCTCCTTGGATAAATGGCCGCCATTGAAGTCAGTGCGAGACTCTCTCTCCACTCACACATATACGTATCCCAGGACATAAATGACCCCAGTGGGCAGCCAGATGATTTCCAATGTTTGAGGGGGTTTAAGCGCACCCTGAAGGTTCAATTTTCTAGATGTCAGCTCCCTAAAAATTTCATTTCTATAAAGGTTAACCCCCATACCTTACATTATTGGTCCATACTGCATTTGCAACCTTAGCTCCAGATTCACCAAGTTCTTACATGGGAAATCCCTTTCTTTTGTGGGCTCTGTGTTGTGACATCATGATGTACATTTTGGCTTGGAATAACACACATCAAATAGTCCAGTTAATAGCTAGCTTCAGCCCTAAAGGTGAACTGCACAACAAAATAGTCACTTCTAAATACTCTCACTTAGCAGCTCTGGTGCTGGAGGAGCATTCAAACAGGGAAACACATTTTGAACAAATGTTTTGTACATTGTTATTTCCCCCCTGAGAAATTCTCCTGAAGTTACAAAGCGGGGAGCTTTCTGTGACATAACAAATACCACAGGCTGCATCTACTGCAATGAGTCATGGGGTTTTGCAGTGTTGCTTTCTAGGACACAGGAAGTACTAAGAGGATTTCACAAAGGTTAGATTCAACCCATTCATACTGGTCCCATGCATGGGAGAGTGAGGACATCAGACACTGAAATCCAGGCTTAGTTCTTTGTTGCCACTGAGCAATTTGCTTTTAACCAGAAAGAAACCCTGTCACTCTGTAATCACTGACCCATGATTGTAGCATGTAGTGGAAATTCATTCAGCCCAAATGGAGTCTCATTTTCCCCTCTCTTTACAGCACCCTGCGTCTGAAGGAGAAGCTGCAGGCCCTCCAGTGCCACTTCACCTGGAACTTTGAAATCAGAGACCAGGTAGATGCAGTTCACCTCCTCCAAACTCTGGCTCTCAGGATTGCCCACACTCACTACCAGAACCAGCCCACGCTCCTTGCCATGCAGGCTTATCTCTGCCACCTGCAAGGGCAATATGAAAACGCTCTGCAAAGCCTTAGAGAAGCCGAAAAGATTCTGCAAAGAGATCACCCAGATAACTTCCCCCGGCAGGTCCTGGTCATTTACGGAAACTACGCCTGGATCTATTATCACTTGGCCCACTATGATTTGGTTGAACTTTACCTGGACAAGGTCAGAAAGATCTGCAGCTCCCTGAAGAGCCGCTCTCCACATGCAGCTCAGATCCCTGAGATACATGCACAGAAAGGCTGGTCTCTCCTGGCAGCAGGCTTCCGCAATGGCAAAGAAGCCACAGAGTGTTTCCAAATGGCGTTAAGAGAAGACGAAGCAAATGGGGAATTTCTTGCTGGGTTGGCAATCGCAGCCTTTGCATCATGGGATCACTCATACAATTCTACGTCTTGGAATGAAGCCAGAGAGAAGTTGGAAGACATTATCCCTGAACAGCAGCAAAACTATGAAGCTAAGGTGTATTTAGCCGAGATCCTTAAGAAATCGGATAGACAGCAAGCAGAAGCCCTCTTAGAAGATGTTGTTCAGAATAGCCTGGACCCTGAGGTCCTGAGACATGCAGCCAAGTTCTTTGAAGGGGAATTCGTAGAAAAAAAAATTTCTATTCTAGAGCGAGCAATCTCTCTGAACCCCAATTATCATCTCCTTCACTATGACCTTGGTTATTGCTACAAGATACAGGTGTGGGGGGCCAAATCCAGCAGAAGAGAAGAAATGTTGGCAGCAGCTATTGAGGCCTTCAAAAAGGCTGTGCAGAAAGATCCAGCCTCTGTGTTTTCAAGGCTGGCTTTAGCTGAAATGTATGGAGAAAACACACCTCACTACCGAGAAGAGATTTATCTCAATCTCCTGAGTGAAATGCCCAGCCTCAGCAAGAAGTGTCAGCAGGCAGTCTGCCTTCACTGGGGAAATTTCCTCTTGTACCAGCAGAAGTCAGTGTGGGAGGCAGCTGAGATGTACAAAACAGGTTTCGCCATTCCAGACAACTACCCGGAGAGGCAACTGCTGAAAAGGAAGTTGGAAAAGGTGGCAGAAATATTCCAGCAGAACTCCCAAACCACTGAGGCTGAGGCCATACGTGACTTCATTCACGAGACTGAAAGTCATTCTCTTGAATAAAGGAGGAAGTCCACTCGTGGCAACAATAGAGCAGGAGACTGGAGATCCGGAGAACATGGGGGATCCTTTCCCTTCCCTGGACACACCAAGACCTCCTTCTGAAGTGAGTTACTTTCCCCACCTGTGTAACAATGACATTCGTGTTGCAAATGACTCAGACTATGGCATATGCTGCTGCTGCTGCTGCTAATTATTATTAGCTACCTGTCTTGTAGTCACGCCTAGTAGCCAAGACATGGACCAGGACCCCATTGTGTCTGGCCCCAAAGAGTCTACAGTCTGCAACAAGAGACAACAGGAGGGAACCAGCAGACAGATGCAGGAGCAGAGGCAGACAATACTGGTCAGCGAAATGGACAGTGGTCTCAGCCCATCAGCTACCCAGCCATTGTCAAGTGTTTTGTAAGCATCACTGCAGAGCAGAGTTTAGCTTCTGATACTGAGCAGCTGTTTCTACTCAGAGGGACAGTGCAACCATCCTTGTCTCTACGCAAACCTACCCTCCAGCTCTGCTGCTTTCTAATATCCACATAGCAAATAGGTGTGGAGTTTCTTCTAACAGCGTTGAGTTTTTGCATTTGCATTTTGCTGAGTGCCTGTAGTGTGTCTATATAATTATTCCCATCTTTGCTTTCCGCACCTCACCTGACCATGACTTACATTTACATGGCACCAGTTTCCCCAGCTTGTCATGGATCTGATTTATTGTAAATGAAGTAAAAACATATGTAACAGAGAAAAGAGAAATAAATCAGTCTCTTTCTTTGTGTTGAAACATTGCTTCTCCTGTCTCTAGATTGCATCAGGGTGAGCAGCACACACAGGACCCCACGGGCACGTCGAGCTCACAGTAAAGCACCGTGACAGTCACTAACGGAACACGAACTGTCCCACATTGAGGTGTCATTACAGGAGGTTTTGGAACAAATTGATAAACTAAACAGTAATAAGTCACCAGGACCATATGGTATCACCTAAGAGTTCTGAAGGAACTCAAATGTGACATTGCAGAACTATCTGTAACCGATCATTTAAATCAGCTTCTGTACCAAATGACTGGAGGATAGCTAATGTGAGGCCATTTTTTTTTAAAGGCTCCAGAAGTGATTCTGGCAATTACAGGCTGGTAAACCTGACTTCAGTACCGGGCAAACGGGTTGAAACTATAGCAAAGAACAGAATGATCAGACACATCAATGAACATGATTTGCTGGGGAAGAGTCAACATGTACTTAGATTTTAAGAAAGCCTTTGATAATGTCCCTCGCCAAAGGCTCTTAAGCAAAGTAAGCTGTCATGAGATAAGAGGGAAGGTCTTCTCATGGATCAGTAACAGGTTAAAAGATAGAAAACAAAGGGTAGGAATAAATGGTCAGTTTTCAAAATGGAGAAAGGTAAACAGTGATGTCCCTCAGGGGTCTGGTCTGGTACCAGTGCTGTTTAACATATTCCTAAATGATCTGGACAAAGGGGTAAGCAGTGAGGTGGCAAAATTTACAGATGATACAAAATTACGCAAGATAGTTAAGTCCCAGGCAGACTGCGAAGAGGTTTTAAGAGAGCTCACAAAACTGGGTGACTGGGCAACAAATGGCAGATGAAATTCAATGTTGATAAATGCAAAGAAATGCACATGGGAAAACATAATCCCAACTATACATAGAAAATGATGGGGTCTAAATTAGCTGTTACCACCCAAGAAAGATCTTGGAGTCATTGTGAATAGTTCTCTGAAAACATCCACTCAATGTGCAGTGACAGTCAAAAAACCGAACAGAATGTTGGGAATCATTCGGCGAAGTATAGATAAGAAGACACAAAATATCCTGTGGCCTCTATATAAATCCATGGTACGCCCACATCCTGAATACTGCGTGCAGATGTGGAACCCACATCTGAAAAAAGATCGTTTGGAATTGGAAAAGTTTCAGAAAAGGGCAACAAAAATTATTAGGGTTATGGAACGGCTTCCATATTGGGAGGGATTAATAAGACTAGGACTTTTCATCTTGGAAAAGAGATGACTAAAGGGGGATATGATAGAGGTCTATAAAATCATGACTGGTGTGGAGAAAGTAAATAAGGAAGTGTTATTTACTCCTTCTCATAAACCGAGAACTAGGGGTCACCAAATGAAATGAATAGGCAGCAGGTTTAAAACAAACAAAAAAGAAATATTTCTTCACCCAACGCACAGTCAACCTGTGGATCTCTTTGTTGTGAAGGCCAAGACTAGTGGGAAAGCAGTGGATGTATTGTTTCTTGACTTTAGCAAAGCTTTTGACACGGTCTCCCACAGTATTCTTGTCAGCAAGTTAAGGAAGTATGGGCTGGATGAATGCACTACAAGGTGGGTAGAAAGCTGGCTAGATTGTCAGGCTCAACGGGTAGTGATCAATGGCTCCGTGTCTAGTTGGCAGCCGGTATCAAGTGGAGTGCCCCAAGGGTCGGTCCTGGGGCCGGTTTTGTTCAATATCTTCATAAATGATCTGGAGGATGGTGTGGATTGCACTCTCAGCAAATTTGCGGATGATACTAAACTGGGAGGAGTGGTAGATACGCTGGAGGGGAGGGATAGGATACAGAAGGACCTAGACAAATTGGAGGATTGGCCAAAAGAAATCTGATGAGGTTCAATAAGGATAAGTGCAGGGTCCTGCACTTAGGACGGAAGAACCCAATGCACAGCTACAGACTAGGGACCGAATGGCTAGGCAGCAGTTCTGCAGAAAAGGACCTAGGGGTGACAGTGGACGAGAAGCTGGATATGAGTCAGCAGTGTGCCCTTGTTGCCAAGAAGGCCAATGGCATTTTGGGATGTATAAGTAGGGGCATAGCGAGCAGATCGAGGGACGTGATCGTTCCCCTCTATTCGACATTGGTGAGGCCTCATCTGGAGTACTGTGTCCAGTTTTGGGCCCCACACTACAAGAAGGATGTGGATAAATTGGAGAGAGTCCAGCGAAGGGCAACAAAAATGATTAGGGGTCTGGAACACATGACTTATGAGGAGAGGCTGAGGGAGCTGGGATTGTTTAGCCTGCAGAAGAGAAGAATGAGGGGGGATTTGATAGCTGCTTTCAACTACCTGAAAGGGGGTTCCAAAGAGGATGGCTCTAGACTGTTCTCAATGGTAGCAGATGACAGAACGAGGAGTAATGGTCTCAAGTTGCAGTGGGGGAGGTTTAGATTGGATATTAGGAAAAACTTTTTCCCTAAGAGGGTGGTGAAACACTGGAATGCGTTACCTAGGGAGGTGGTAGAATCTCCTTCCTTAGAGGTTTTTAAGGTCAGGCTTGACAAAGCCCTGGCTGGGATGATTTAACTGGGAATTGGTCCTGCTTCGAGCAGGGGGTTGGACTAGATGACCTTCTGGGGTCCCTTCCAACCCTGATATTCTATGATTCTATGATTCTATAACAGGGTTCAAAAAAGAACTAGATAAGTTCCTGGAAGATAGGACCGTCAATGGCTATTAGGAGGTGCTGAGTGTCCCTGGGTTGGAACCTGGGCTAGTCTTTGGGCCCAGGTTCCCCCACCAGCAAAGTGGTATCCCCAAGAAGGGGACAGAGTAACAGCCGTGTTAGTCTGTCTTTGCAAAAAGAAAAGGAGTACTTGTGGCACCTTAGAGACTAACCAATTTATTTGAGCATGAGCATCCGATGAAGTGAGCTGTAGCTCACGAAAGCTCATGCTCAAATAAATTGGTTAGTCTCTAAGGTGCCACACGTCCTCCTTTTCTTTTTGCCAAGAAGGGGACAAATTTCATTTGGAGGCCCAAGCAAAAGGCTGAAATTAAAGGGCTCAGAGCCAGGGCTGAAGACGCTGGTGAGGGCAGATAGTTTTGCTGGACTTCTGTTACCCGGAAAGGGTTTCATTTTGATTCCGTCACGTGGCTGGAGGGCTCAGCCACTGAAGACCCACCAAGCGAGGTGGGGGGGCCAGGAGCAGGGAAAAGGCTGCAGTACCGCTTGCAGCAACAGGTGGTGCTCAAGAGGTGAGTGTGCCCTGTTAACTCTCTTTGCTTAATCACACGAGAAATACACAGACCCCACCAGAATAATAAACCCTACCTGCACTTCCCTTCACTCCAGCTTACTCTGTTTTGAGGGAATGGTATCTGAAAGGGATAGCTCAGTGATTTGAGCACTGGCCTGCTAAACCCTGGGTTGTGAGTTCAATCCTTGAGGGGGCCATTTAGGGATCTGGGGCAAAATAAATAAATTAATTAAATTGGGGATGGGTCCTGCTTTGAGCAGGGGGTTGGACTAGATGACCTCCTGAGGACCCTTCCAACCCTGAGATTCTATGATCTGTGTGGAGAGGAAGGTTATAAATAAATACTGGAGTTACAGACAGCATGGGGGAGTCAGCAGCTGAGTGATGCAGGATCTAGAGGTGGGTCCCCTGTGAGGGCGGGGACCAGTCCCTGTACCACTTTGGATACAGGTCAGCGCTGTTCCAGTTTCATTTACTAGGGACACGCCACTGAGATAGGTTTCAGAGGAACAGCCGTGTTAGTCTGTATTCGCAGAAAGAAAAGGAGTACTTGTGGCACCTTAGAGACTAACCAATTTATTTGAGCATGAGCTTTCGTGAGCTACAGCTCACTGTAGCTCACGAAAGCTCATGCTCAAATAAATTGGTTAGTCTCTAAGGTGCCACAAGTACTCCTTTTCTCTTTCCACTGAGATAACGTCTGGTCCGCTTTGGAGTGCTTTATGGACGGAAGAGCCGGGAGGGAAGCATTTGTTCCCCTCGGGCGAAGGGGCCTATGGAACTTACAGGTAGTTGCTGTAACTGCGTTAACCTGGGACCCTGTTGTCTCACTTCATGAGAGAAGGGGGCAGCGCTTTTTGAAGGGAGGGTTTGCACAGTTTTAACCTGACTTTGCTGGGCTTCTGGGGGGAAGGTAGTGCCCTCTAGTGACAGTCTGAGAGAAGTCCAGGGAATGGATATTTTCTGTGTCGATCCCAATCCCTGCACCACTTGGGATACTTGCTACACATTTCTCTTTCACCGGCAACTGAGCCTGTCACAAAACTCTTAACCCAAGGGCTGGGATACTGCGAGCTGTGAGGACCCCCGACTTAAGAACATACGAATGGCCAATGGTCCGTCTAGCCCCGTATCTTGTCTTCCCACAGTGGCCCATGCCACTTGCAAACTTTGACTTGTTGACAAGGCTCTGGTGGTATCTCAGTCTCTTCAAACACTTCTTTCTGCTCCAGCTAGGAAGAATCCAGGTGACACAAGCTGCATGCTTTGGTGGCACTATAGAGAGTGAGAAATCATCCCTGAGAGAAGATCAGAGGGGAATGGGTTTGTAGGGGGGTGCTGAAGGGTAGGTGGTATGTTGGAACCTTGCGTTTAAATGTACACAAACAGCAACAAAGGGGGAGGGGGAATCTGTATAAGAACTTAATAGCTTTTGTTTTTAAAATTATTCGTAAGTATTCCAAATACGGTTCACCATATTTGTGTGTGTCACAGGGCTGGTACACTCTGTTCCCCTTTGGGAACGGGGGCAGGCATTATAGCCCCACAGCTCAATCCAACTGAGCACCATAAGCTTCAGGGCAATGTGGCCTAGTGGCCGGAGTAAATAAGGCAGCCCTTCCTTGCGGGGCTGCAGGACTTAGTGGCCAGAATCAATAAGGCAGCGTTTCCTTGCAGGGCTGGGGGGCTAGTGCCCAGAATCAATATCACCGCCCTCCTTGTCAGGGCTGTGTGGCCCCATGGCCAGAGTGGCTGGGGAAGTGGGCCACTGCCTCA